TGTGTTGGGAAAGACAAAGGTCCCTTATAAAAGCTAAACAAAGCAGTGAATGCTAAACAATTTCCTCAAACATGAAGACGAGTATTGAGGCAATAGAGACGTGATTTGACAGAAGGACAATAGGAATACTAGGGACATAAACATGAACAATGAGGAAGTTAAATAAGAACGGAAAGGTCACTTGTAGTTAAGATAAAAAAAAAAGCCTGTTGATCTACCTGAAGCACATCATGAGGAAAGAGGGCTTGGTTAATTTAATACTTACAGGACATATAAAAGTTAAAAGGGACAGAGGTAAAGAGCGAAATCTACCTAACGAGTTTGGGTAACAGAAAAGGAATGTAATGGATATTTAAGGAAAAAAATATATTACTTAGAACTACAAAGATATGAAGTTGTAGAGAGTCATGATCGTCCTTAAATTAATAAAGCATAAACCTAAACCATGGTGGCTGAGTAATGAAAATAACAAGATTATTTAGCGCTGATCTCCCTTGTACAGAGATCTTTACCTACCTTGAAAATCTGTATTCAGTATCCTACTTTCTTTTAACCTGGGCTCGAACACAAATCATTAAGTCAAGAGGGCAATGCACGACTAATTCCTATTTCAGTCAAACCCCTTATTTACGAAGTTTAGCTTTGTACCGAGGTAGGCCAAAATGGAAAATATTAATTTGAAAATTATGTCGCGTCAATATTCCTTGCAAGGAGAGCCTAACCTCTTCGAAAAGCAAACTAGCGAAAATCGTTTTTGTCGTTTGTACTGGTTGGTAATAAGCTGTTAGAAATCTCACGCATGTCATATAAGGGAATTATTATTTGTTTTGTCTTCGCTCAAAGACAAGAATAAGAATAATCCCGGGGTCGAAACGCTGGAGATTAATCAGATGTTTGTCTTAAGCGAGAAATATGACGTATGACCGGGCGTAATTCATGGCCCAATCCCTGTAAATTGTACAGCAATGGGAAGGTGTTGCCGTGGAGATGGAAATTCAAAAACTAGAAAGAGAAAGTATTTATCTTCGTCTACACGACGCCAATTAAGGATCAAAGTTGTTTTATTGTGGGCGTAAACACTTTTGCATGTAGGTGTGTTCCGAATTTGTAACTGTTTTTTTTTTCGCCAGACATTAGGCCATAACCACTGACCCTATCCCGTTAATGCCATGTGGATATACTGCTTGGAAGACAAATCTCTATACAGATTTAAAGATTGGTTGATTTGTTTGGTTAACGGCATATCAACTCCTCAAGGGTCATTTGATGCCGAAATTTAATTTTCTTGGGAGCTTTGAAATAGTAAGAATATGTTATTCTGCTCTCGCAATTGAATACATGGTAGATGATACTCAGCTTTTCTGTATATTCATATTTTTATGGACATAATTACTAGAGGCGGTGATATATATATTATGTTGTAGTTTTGTTGAAGTTATATTTTGGAATACAGTTTGATTTTTTTCTAGAAATTGTCGTATATTATATGGATTAATGTCTTGAAAGTGTTCTTTCCTGGTGGCTGTTTGATAGTATGTATTAAACGGATTTGGCAAAAGCTGCTACAATTTGTTAGCATGTGTTTTATTGTGTATAATTCTTGACACGCCGTACAGATTGGAGGTGGTTTTTGTTTTATCACGAAATGTCTGATATAAAGTCTAGACAGTATTACTTCAGCTTTCCTTGTTTTTAGTGTTTGATGCCATTCTCCTATAGTTCTTTTGAAGTTATATAATGTCTTTGGTCAGCCGGACCATTCTTTCTGCCACTCTTCTTTGATGTTAATGGTTGATCTGAGGTCTGTGTAGGGGATCTTAGTATTTGAACTATCTTTGAAGGCTGATGAATTTATGGATGCCGAATCGGTCATATCGTTGCTCTTGATGTCAATATGGCTAGATATCCAGCAGAAGATGTTATCATTATATTACAGGTTTAAAGAAAAGACAATGCTGGTAGCAGCCCTGAACAATTGAGCCGAATATGAAATAAATCTCGTTCCCAGTTTTTATTACTGAAACTTGATGTTAGCTGCAGATTTGATTGAGTGAATGATTCGTTTTTTTACGGCTTATCACCCTTTTGCCAATTATTTAAATTCAGAAAATGTTTTTAGATTATAAGAAATATTTTTTAGGTAATAATGGTTTAATGATACAAATCTTACTAATTAACCCATGGGGGGGAGAAGAGGTGGCTTCATATCTTTCCCAAGTATATTTGTACGTAAGTGAATATAACGAACACAACGGGTACTGGAACTCAGCTCTCCGATTAAACAATTCTGAATCATTAACCATCACACCACCTCCGCATCCAACCTTACAGAACCTGGTATGCCCACGCGGTCACCCATCTGGGTATTGACCAGGCTCAAAGTTGCATAAATTCGGTGATCGTAGAGGAACAGAGCAACCAGGGTATTTATAGTTGAAATGCTAATAATATATATATATATATATATATATATATATATATATATATATATATATATATATATATATGAAGAGGAGGTGGGATTTATGAGGATAAGGAGGATAGATAACGATTGAATGTTGATTTGAAGAGGTCAAGGTTAAGATGTTCAGCGGAAATCTGGTTCACAACGTAGTAGTTCTTGGGAAAAGCTGTCTAAGTGGAATATCTTTCTTACATTTGTAACAAGGAGGAAATGAAGATGCTTCGACTTCGTGGAAGTAGCATGGCTAGTCCTAACTGTAAAGTTATGAACTGGCGGAATGGTGCGCTTCTCAACATTTACCATTGAAATAACGATAGACTAGTGTTATGGGATCTTACCCATAATAATAATAATGGACTATTCCATACTTCATTTTGAACAACTGCTCGGTTTAACTCTCTGTCTCGGGACGGAAGGGAACCCGAGGAGGCTATGCCGAGGGCCTTCGGGGTTCATTTTTGAACAGACTGCCCACGGGCTTTAACCCCTAATAAAAAAACTCCTTGTCTCCGGACGTGAGCCGTTCACTTTGAACAGGAACTCCGAAGGGAACCCGAAGGGCTACGCCGAAGGGCGGAGGGGGAGGTCTCCCTGAACCCGTTTATACGGGTTCAAACGGGCATATTATTTTGGGCCCTCGAACAATAAAAACCGACCTTGTGTCACATGATGCGGGTTCAATATCGTGGTCAGCCGTTCATTTTGAACAGCCGAACTCTGCCCACGGGAACCCGGAGGAGGCTACGCCGGGGAATCCCTTCGGGAGATAAAAACCCCGTTGACCTTCAGACGGGCATGTCACCCACGGGCTCGGGAATCCCCTAATAAAAACCGACCTTGTCCCCATGGTTCCCCCCAGTGGGGGGACTCAATATCGTGAGTCAGTGGTTCGAGTCAGTCAGTAGTTCAAGTCGAGTCAAGAGTCGAGTTAGAGGCAGTCCAGAAACAGAGTCGCATTCAGACAATTATTGCAAGACATATAATGATACTGGTCGAGATTACATTGTTCTCTCTACTAAACCTGATTGTTCATACTAACACTTTCTACTTCTCTGTATATATTCGTGTTTGTAATATATCTGTGTTATTCCATACCTGTGTTCGAGTTCTTCTTTATTGGTTCTACCTTGGACTATCACCGTGGTACAAGGAATCCGGAAAATAACAACTAGCAAGAACTTTGCAACGTTGCAGCTTTGCGAAAGAGGTTTTAGCGTGGAAAGTAGGTCATTATTCACAAGATCGTGTAAGAAATTTTGAACTCCGGCAGGGCGGGAAACTGACGATTGAGCAACTTCAAATATGGTAGGAATACTTCGTTTTTTTTCGGGTTTTTTTTTGCCTAATTTAAATATTGCAAAGAAACAACAAGACAGAGGGAATAAATACTTTCTGATGCGGTAGTTAGAGATTTGTATACAGTAAATCTCTAGATTATGATAGTCGCAATCTACGACGATTCGTTGTTAAGGTTCAATCTATATTGACCTTGTTTCGACTTATGCCATTTGCCTTTTACATAAAGCGGCGCCGGTCAGTTCCTGGTTGTACGCCATATTGGATAATTGTGCATTCACTATTTGGTTTGTGTTGTGTTTATAGAAACTTATTGCAGAAAGAAAAATAAACTCGCATCTGTTTTTCTTTATTCCCAAATGTGCCGCTGCTTTCGAGTACTGCAAGACAGACACATTCATACAATGCGTCATCTCATCTACTGAGAGTCAATGACATCACTGACAATAAATATACAGTTGACAATATTTTCATTTCATTTTATGTATTATTTTAATTTCATTATATGTATTATATTTCTGTCATCCATGTGTTTTTTTAGTCCTAATTATGTAAACATGTCATAGACATATGTTGCTATGCTCTAGATTATTACATTACTATTGCATTAGCATAAGTTTGTGACATAAGTGATTATTCATGGAAAATCACGAGTACGTTCCGACTTACACGGAAAATCGCGTTTACGACGCATGATAGAAACGGAACTCTGTTTTATTAAAAGACTGTGCTATTATTAATAGTTATGAATATTTTTGAACGTGCAAAAATGCAACACTAGATTTTTAATATTGTAGCAATGCAGTAATTCAAAATTTCTATTATTGTAAGTGTTTTTTCGTTGGCGTGACATAGACTATTGGTATTATTTTTAATAAAACATCTTTCAACAAGTATCACATTCATTTTAGTCTTGGAATTTTTACCCGAAATTTCCTGAAATTGAGGAAAATATAACGTCTATGCCTGAAGATGGTGAATGTTTTCACCGATAGCACTTTGGAATAATATAGACCGAACATTTGGTAAAATTAATAATTAGTTATGCCCTAAATTATATAATAAGTTGCATAAGTTTGTGACATAAGTGCTTAGTCACGGAAAATCACGGGTACGTTTCGACTTACTCGGAAAATCGCGTTACGACGCATCGAAGGAACGGAACTCTGTCGTAAGTCAAGGACCTCCTGTATTTTGAGATTTTACCTCTTGAAAAACCCTATATATTGCAGGTGAAATATTAGAGAATCCACAACAGGAGTTTGGGTGGCAAAATACTAACTATATTTGTCCAGATATCATCATCGGGAAGAGGTTCGATCCAGTAGCTAATCAATGCAATTATCATGGCGAACAAGAATAGCCTGGTGATTAGCATAGTACAGACGACAAAGTTTGTCAGCGAAACAGCTACAGCGGCCATCACCACGCCCATCAACACAAATGCCAGGCCGATAAGGTGACGGACGATCAATACGAATGCATTTATGATGTGAAGGAAATTCCTCAATGTCAACCGTACAATCTCGACAACGAAACCGAAGCTGACTATGACGGACACGCAGGCTACTTTTAAGACGACGGTGACCGTTTCAACAGGCGAGAGAAAAGAAGTGACCAGGACTGTGGCCGTAGAGCTGAACATTCTTATCGGGACATTCAGGGCTCCTATCACAACCGTGATGATTGCGACCATCACTTGCAGCAGGATCAAGCTGATCCCGTAAATGATGCGGAAGATCACAAGGAGCAAACCGATGCAGACTAGAAGTAGCAACAAGGCGATTTTGGCCAAAATCTCAATGAAGGCTTCCAGCTTGATCGGAGATTCTACATAAGCGCCACTAGTGTCTTCGATTTTCTCTTCACTCTCCAT